TTTTTTCGCGATCTTGAAGGCGATTGCACACTAATGAATACAGAAGATGATGATGAAGTATTACGCTATGCAGCTTTAAGGAATATCAAGGTCAAAGACGATCCTTTAAATTAGTGGTTAATTCATAGAGAGAGTTTTCCTATTTTAACGCAACTTACAAGAAAATATCTTTCAATCCTGACAACTTCAGTGCTGAGCAAGTGATTGTTTTCTGATATTGGTAATCATATTTCGGCGAAAAGAACGCATTTGGCACCTGATTTAGTAAATAAGATTTTATTTTTGAAACGTAACAACGTCTATTTCGAAATGTTTCACCACAAGAAAGTTAATAGATTTCACTTAATAATATCAAAGCAAAAGGGTGAATTTTACCTGAAATCAAAATATCTTTTTTATTTTACCACCACCACCATGCCATCCACCAATAATAATAATAATAATAATAATGGTGGTTATGTACCAAGTCCATTAGGAAAATCGTTCTTCACTTCTGAGATAATTTTTGTAAAAGTTAAATAATTAACATTTAATAATAATAAATAATGAATAAGTATAACAATGCTTTTATTTAATAAATAAATATTTTAACAATAGTATAAGTAATACAAATTTAAACGGTATTTATTATGTCCGATCAGCTAATATGTAGATCATCATAGAATTCCATTAATTTTCTGCAGTTGAACCGGAACCAGATGATCGGTAAATCAGGAATGTGGCTTCAATTTTTTTATCTTGCAGTTAACTACATGGAATGTGAGTCTTAGAAGTTATTTTTTAGCTTACAGTACATTTCACACTATAATAGACCGAAGCGTTGATTTTTTAATACAACTGGCTTATTGGTTTAACCAGTTTTAATATAACCAGTTTATCAGTTTATCAGTTTTAATATAACCAGTTTATCGGTTTATCGGTTTCAACCAATTTATAACCGGTTCCGATTTTTAGGATATAAATAAAACCAGTTTTAAAAATAAAACTGGTTCTAACCTCTACTGCTATTTATGCTATAAATAAACATACCATCCTGTAATATTGGATTTCTCGTAATAATAATCATAATCAACTATATCACTGGATTCATATTTAGTAGTGAGAAAAGTTCGCTCAATCCTTTTGCTTTTCAAATCCAAGCTGGTCCAAGATAAAAAATGGCCTAGAGATTCAACATGAACTTAAATAACATCTACCATGTCAAAATTTACTGAAAAAATGAAGCTTACACCCATCTCCTTTCCTTCAGTTTTTATTGACCATTCTGTTCTTGACGTCAAATATGACCTTCTTGAAACCTATAAAATGCTTTTGAACTTGGCAAAAATAGATATACATAATCTCAAAGTCTCGGCTATTAAATAACTTATTAATAAACGTTGTGACGACCTGCTCAACAATATGTCTTTGATGAACAATTCCATTCTCAATCAGAAGAAAATACAATAATCTTGGATCACCTATTAATTAATGATCCTGTGAATGGCATTAAATGATTTACCGTTGACCTTAATGAGATCAAAGATGCTACTTGACATCACTTTTAAAATTTTGCTTTACCTAATATTCTGTCTCAACATATGCCTTCACGTTAGACAAATCAGTATCTTCCAAAAGATTACGTTAATAGTAGCTGTTACAACAATCTTCTTCAACCACCTACAATTGATGAATGGCTTGCTATTCTTTGACAGCTTTCCAAAGATAAGGCTGTAGACCCATCAGGTATTATCAATGAAATGCTAACTCATTTAGATAAAAAATTGCAATATTTTCTTTAGCAACTTATTTGCATGTACTTCACTATTTGTGATATTCCTAACAAATGGAAAATTGCGCACATATTCCTAATTTCTAAACCTATGACTTGAGAATGTGATATCACAAAAACTCAACCTATCACATTACTTAAAACTGTGAGAAAAGGTTTCATTAAAATCCTAACAAACCGTCTTTCAAATATTATTGCCAAACACTCTATCCTTTGAGATGACAATTTCGCTGGATTACCGAAAGACTCAACAGAGACTCCCATTAAAATTCTCAACATATTATTTGAGAATGCTAATAAAAATAATAAAGAATCGGATTTTACTCCTAAGATCTTTCAAAAGCGTACGATTGTGTTAACTTATCCTTTCTTTATAAGGCGTTACATCATATTAAAGTACCTAACCATGCAGTAGATCTATTGATCAACCTTTTCATTGCACAAAAAAATGCTGTATTCACTGCTCATGGGATATCTGATTTTTATTATATCAAAATCTATATAAATCAAGGCGAAGTTATATCACCACTTTTATGGTGTATTTATCTCGATCCTCTACTATGTGAAGTCGCTAATCTTAACAAAGGATACACTATTAAACATTGTTGGATTTTAGACCTCACCACTTTGTCCTCTAATCAATTAATAACTCAAGTATTCTTCCTTGCTTTTATGGATGATACAAATTGGATTGCTGGAAATCAACAAGATCTTAAATCTATATTAGAAGTTGCAGACAAGTTTTACAACTTCACACATTCTGCTTTTAACAAACAAAAATCAAAACATTTGTCTATTAAATGTTTTTCTAGTCCCTCAGTTAACTTACAGTTTAGTTCATCATATGTTGATTTATATGCTGAACAGGGCTCTATGAGATTCCTAGGAGTCTGGATTAACCATAAATGCTCAGCCGCCTTCGTTAAAAAACAAATTATACTTGATATTCAAAGATTTATCAACATAATGAGATACAAACCTATTACTGATAAACAATTCATGTTGTTAACGTCTGAAATCAACCTTACTGCACTGATCATTAGTGACCAATGGAATGACGATGTAATAAACGTGACCAATACTGTGCTAAATGATCTGCAAAATTCCAGATTTTGATGATTCTGGGGATTCATAGGATTCTTAGGATTTACTGGATTCGTAAATTATCATGATTTGTTAGATTTTCCTAATTTTCTGTATTTCCATTATTTTAATTATTATCGTTATTCTTCTTATTTTTATTATTTTTATTATTTTTATTATACTTATTATTATCGTTATAATTATTATTCTTATTATAATTATTATTATTATTATATTAACACTTGTAGTTACAAATTTAGTTAGTTTATAGTGTAGCAATTAGTTAGCCGTAGCAAATTAATTTTGTATAAATAGAATAGCTTTTTACTCATGTTGTAAAATATCTCTTTTGCGAGTTTTAAAATTCTATTACGAGTTTCAGTTTTATTATAAGTTTAAGTAATAAAGGAATCAACTTTTAAAATAAAATACTTTTACCTTCTACGTGTCCATCATCTAGGATTTGATCATGAATTACTACACTAATTTGCAATTGAGTTCGTCACTTAGAATATATAAATTCTCTAAATTTCTTAAGTCCTTAAACCCTTAAGTTCATAAATCAAGTAGAGTAATTCCAAGGCATTCCGGATACCTGTAGGACGTAAGATTCCCTAAGGTTGTAAAGTCTGACAATAAGGAAGTTACTTACTGCAGCAAAGGAACTTAGACAAATTACGTGAAGTAATCAGAGAAGATTATTTCCGGTAATAATGTAAAGTTAAGAATTGTGATAAAAATGATCCAAATATATATAAATTTAGAAAATTTATTCAAATAAATAAAGAAAAACTATAAAAACTAATACATATCAAAATTATAGTTATTTTCAAATTAATGATTAGTTATCTTTTTTACATTATTTATCAATTGTAGAAGCAAATAAAAGAAGTAAAAATAAAAAAATAAAATCAGAAGAATTTAATAATATATATATTAGAAATGATGATGATTATACAGAATGTGAATTATCTCAAATTTTAAATTTAGATAATAATATTAAATTAAATTTTAATAATTAGTCTGATATAAATATTAAATATAATGATAATAAAATAATTGATTTTTTAATAAATAAAATAAAAAAAATGCAAAAAGATATAAATGAATGTGAAAAAAATATATTTTTCAAATACTATAATTTCTCAAACAAAAGTATTAGAGTCATATGATCAAACATTTTTTAATACTTTTAGAACATTTAAAAATTAACTTTATAAAGAATCTACTATAGATTATTTAAAATATAAAACAAGTATATTCTTAATTAACTACTTTTATTTAATCTTTAAAAATTTGGAAAAAAGTAAGAAAATTAATAAGAATGAATATTATTAGCAACATTAAATCAAAAAATAAAATTAAGATACTTACTGCAAGATATCATACATCTAAATCATCATCTTATAATATATGTGATTATTATAATCAAAAATTTAAATGTTTAGATAAAGAAGAAGGTAAAATGTTGATATGTGAACATTCTTTTCATCACAAATGTTATGCAGAATGAAATAATAAGTGCAATTATTGTTTAGAATTCTATAAAAAGGGTGTTGTCTTTAATGTAAATTCTTATATAAAAAGATTAGAAAGAGATGATAATATTAATAATAGCTTATTAGATAATGAAATATTAGATAATGAAAACAAAGAAGAGCAAGAGGAAGAGGAAGAAGAAGAAGAAGAAGAAGAAGAAGAAGAAATAATATAAGAAAAAATATTGGTAGACTTTAAAAAGGCTTTAGAATTTATAAAAACTTGGTAAAATATATTTTAATATACATTTATTAATTAATAAAACCTTAAAACTTCGACTCTCACTAAGTATCGCTAGAGCAAAGATCACCAGATCATTTTTTACCCAAATGTAAAGAAAAGAACGAACGACATATTAATGCAAAAAAAACTGCGTAACGATAAATTAGATTTTAAAAAAAAATCGCATCTTTTTTATTACTTTAAATCGATTGACATCGAATGTTACACAATATAAAAAAGATCGACATTTGATTTTATCACCAGGTGATATAACGAATGTCCATTATATAAACTTTTTGTGAGTTACACAAATTTAACCCTCAAAATTAAGAATAAAAAAAAATCGTGAGAATAATGAACTAATTTATCTTTCTTTTTAAAAACGATGGAAATTGATACTTTGTCTGTTATTTTATTAATTTTAATTATATTTTTTACATTTCTTTCAATTAATGATGCTCCAAGTCCCGACGTACATCCTTTATTATTAACTTCGCAGTCTGAATGCGCTAAAGTTCGAAACCCTGGAGAAACTGCTATTTACAGAGCAAATAATTCTGCTCATGGAATGCCTTTATTGACAAGCCCTGATAAAAGTATAAAAATTATTGCCGATTTATTCGAGAATGGAAAAAAAATTGGAACAGAATGCCTTGGTTTCAAAGGTGCTAATGGTTTTATTTGGGTACGTATATTTTGTATCTGTTGAATTTAAAACAAAATTGAAATAAATAAATATATATATATATTTTATTAAAATGTTAGGAATCATATCGTAAGTAACAAATTGTGATCAACAATTATGTAAATTTGTCTTAAATGAATCGTATCAATTTAGAGAAAATTGCCGAAAGGGTTGCAAATTTTGGAACAGGATTGATAAAATCAACGGATTTGGCGCCCAAGTCATTAAATATGTTTGGAATTTTTATGAATAGTTGTCCAGGTATGAATTGACGATCCAAAGAATTTTGATTCTTTTGAAAGTTTAAATTAATCTTTTTTTTCTTGCCAATAAAGAGTGGGTGATTGCAGATTTGGGTAAATATAAGGTCGTTTCAAAGCTTTAAGCATTTATTTTTAATGATAATTTTTTTTCATGAATTAATGGTTTTAAATTGTTACAAAAAGTTGCTAGTTATTATAGTTTAATTACAGTATCTATTCCAAACATTCCTCCACGTTTAAATGATGTCATAAATCAAATCAATCTTACTCAAATCGGAGTAGTTATCGTATCCAAGGATACACTTCCAATGATTATAAGTGCTGCACAATCTTGTGCATCATTGAAATATGTCATATTAAACGAGCCTTCAATTTCTCTTGATCAAAATGAAAAAGCTAAAGCAATTGGTTTAACTTTAAAAACATTTAAGGAAATCGAAGAATTAGGTTCTCAATCTAAACTAGATTTTGTTTTTGCTGGTAACCTTAATAACGACTCACATTCGATCATTTAGTTAGTTGATATATAAATGATTTTTAACTTTCCTTATTTTATCCTTAGAGCCGGAAGATACAGCGACAATTGTTTTTTCAAGTGGCACTACATCAGGGGTGTGTAGATAGATAATTTAATAACTATTATTTTTTCAATAAATGACTTGAAATCTTTTGTTTTCTTTCGTAGGAACCGAGTGGAATTGAATTGACACAAGCCGTAAGTTTTTCATTTGTTATGATCATCGCAATCTAAAAAATAAGTATTAACATTAACACGGGAATTGACAGAATCTCGTTGCAGATGTTGGTAAGTTTCGAAAGACGTTTATGGATTGATGATGTATATTAAACATACATCATTTTAATCATTTGAATTACAGCTGGATTGCTTTCAACACTTCCAAATGCTCAAAAAGTCACTCCTGCTGATAGACATTTGTCATATTTGCCGCTTGGTAAAAATCATAGGTTTTCTTGTTTTATTATTGTTCCGAGAATTTTTTTTATTTATCTTCACATGATTTTTATTTAAGCTCATATGCTAGAAAGAATTACAGTTATTGCCCTTTTGTATTCCGGAGCATCAATTGCTTTTTATAGTGGAAATTTATCGACTGTATTAAAAGAAGCCGAAGAAATTAAACCTACGATCTTCACCAGGTTTGTTCGAATATTATTTCTGATTTTTTTTTTTTTTTTTTTTTTTTTTGATATTAAGTTTTTTCTTTTCTTATTCTTCAGCTCACCCCGATTTTTAATTCGATTTCATGAAACGATTATACAAACATTTGGTAAAGAAATGTTTTTTGAAAAAGGATATGCATCTAAATTAAACCATTTAAGAAAAGGAAAGTTAGTTACAAATTCAATTTGGGATATGTTGATATTTAATAAGATCAAAGCAAAATTTGGAGGAAAACTTCGTGTCATTGTCACCGGATCTGGTAAAATCTCGCGTCTTATTTTTATCTTTACTAAAATTAACGCAATGAATTTAAGAGTTTACACGAATTTTTGTTATAATAGGACCAATTTCTCAAACTACTCTTAATTTCCTTCGTATCGCTGTTGGTTGTCAAGTTATTCAAGCTTATGGCCTTACTCAATGTAGTGGTGCTGTGACAGTTAATTCGTTTTTCGATTACCAACCAGCTGATCAAAGAGAGCATGAATCACACACTGGAGGACCAATTTCATGTAATGAAATCAAATTGGTGAATTATGAAGAGAAGGGTTACACTGTCGAAGACAAACCTAATCCTAGGGGCGAAGTATGTGTCAAATTTTATTGGTGAGGATGATACAGAATTTAATCGATTTAATCTAATGTATTTTATCACTTGATAATAGATATGTGTAAGAGGGCCAAATGTCATGAAAGGATATTATAAACGTCCTGAACAAACAGCTCAAGCGATTGATGCCGATGGATGGCTTCGTACTGGCGATATTGGTATGGTCTTACCAAATGGAACTCTAAAAATCATTGATAGAAAATTGGTAAATACTTAATTTATCATTTACTTTTTCAATTCGTGTTTAATAATTTTTTTTCTAATCTTTTAATTAATATAGCCAATTAAACGACAAAAACCGGTGGAAGAGTTTTGATTAATTAAAATATTTCTAATAACTCAAATTTCGTAATATGTTTCTTTCATTAATAATCACAAATTGTAAAGTAAATTTCATTAAATAAAGGCAAAAATATTAGATTTAGCAAAGAAGACTTATGGACTTTTTATACATAATTTAATTCAGGCAAATTATAAATCAAAATATTCAGTAAGTTTATAACTATGAAAAGTCGGTTCTTGAGGGAGGATAAAAAAAATTATTGCCTGAATGTTATCATAAACTAAATTTGCTAAATTAATGAAGAAAAAAAAAGATAATAATTATCTTTGATATAAAAAAAAAGAATGAAATGTTTTGAACAGAATCATAGAGCTGACGATCGAATGTTATCAATAACGAATAAACTAACACAATAATATCCTTATCGAAAAAAAAAAAAAAAATCGAATCAATTTAACCTTTGTTTTTATATATATATACTCTCAAGATATCGAACCTTATTATTTTTTTTTTTAAAAAAAATTTTTTTCCTAAAGGAATATTATATAAACCTTTTTGAGTATCGGTAAGTTGTTTCTTTGCTTTTCTTTGATGGTATAATTTTTGGGCCGGCATAGACTATGCAGTCTTTATGAGTTGACTAAAACCATCGATCAAAAATTTCAGTGAAAATTCTTTTCTCGAAATAAAGTAGTTTACCATGAAACTCGTAAGGTTTGTGTTTTAGTTATTACTATTATTTTTTTTATTTTAACATTATTGATAATTTGTTATAATTCTTTCCTTGTTTTTTTTTAAAAAAAAAAAACAGGTTTTTGATGAAACTAAATAATGAAACAGTCACAATTGAACTCAAGAACGGAACGATAGTTCATGGAACGATTACTGGTATGAGTTTTGATAATTTTTTTTTTTGTCTAAAAACAAATTAACAATAACCTTTTCGTTTTAACAGGCGTCGACATGAGCATGAATACTCATCTTAAAACAGTCAAAATGACCGTAAAAAACAAAGATCCCGTCAATTTGGATTCTTTAAGCATTAGAGGGAATAATATTAGATATTATATTCTACCTGATTCACTTCCATTGGATACATTGTTAGTTGATGATACACCAAAGGCTAAAGCCAAGAAGAAAGAAGGTACGTTATCTTTCTCACACATTTTATGGTTTTACTGGAGTATTGTTGAGTAGATTATTTTATAAAATCATAATGCTAACGATATCATTTAAATTCAATAGCCGTTGGTGTTGGACGTGGACGTGGACGCGGACGAGGACGTGGTACTCGAGGTCGTGGTCGTGGTCGTTAAGAAACGTTTGTAAAAATTCATGTTTTTAAGCTCAATAATTGGATTTCTCAATAACTAATGATTAAACAAGGTAATAAAGAATAATTTTTTTTTTTAAAAAAAGAACAAACTTCAGGTATGTGTATTGAAACGGAATGAATTATAATAATAATAATTTATAATAAATTTTATTTTAAAGAATTCAATAACTATGTATTAGCTTTCTTATACATTTTCATGAATAAATCTGATCATTCCTTTTTTAAACATCAAATTGTCCTTGACACCAATCTTTATAACAAAATTATAGTTAAAATATAAATGAAGATTTGATGTGTCGCACCATAGATAAAAGTTCCGGATGTAAGAAATTCACTATAATAAAATTTGTTTTCACAAATTATTTGAGCGAGCAAAAAGCAAGGAAATGAAAGTAAAGTTTTTAACCCCCAAACATTAATAAATAATAATTTTAAAATTAGTTCATTATATAGTTAGTAGATATATATTAAAGGTGATTAAGTTAATAATACTATGAAAATTTTTATTTTGTATCTTTATCGATAAAGTATTTTGTAAATCAAAGTGTGATTTAATGTGAAATGTAAATTTATAAAATGTATTTTATTTTTAAAAAAAATATCACAAATTTCGAAGTGAAACCAAAAATTTTAAGCGTCAACTTGTATTGTCATTTTATAAAAGTTTTTTATTTTTGTAATTCTCCTGCTATAAAAAGCTTTCCAAGAGTTGGCCCAGAATATTGATTTAATTGTTTACAATAATTATTGATTTGTGATGTAATTAGTAAAGAATCGAGTCTTGAAGGTTCGGCAGGAAGTTTATGATTTTTATGGATATCATCTTCTGGAAGAGGTTCTAGCCCAGAAGCAATCCGTGATACGTTCTCTTGTTTCTTTAATTAATATAGATCAATAAATAATATTAGTAAAGGAAATTCATAGAATCATAATTTAAATTTGTCAAAGAACAACTTACTCTCTTTTGTAGGGCAACCTGTATTTTTGTTTGTTCCCTAGAAACGCTTCGTTGCCAGAACGCATATGTATTTTGCTCTTGTGTATGCTCTTCAACAGATTCCAACAAAAATTCTAAATTCTTTTCAATATATGGATCGAGACTTAATTCTAATGTATCAAAATTTGGACTTAATGGACTGACGACTTTTTCTTTATCTAAAGAAGCTGATTTCGGTATAACATGTTCATAATCATCTAAGGAATGAAGAAGCGCTGTCACTAGATGGGAATTTTTAACAGTGATCGGAAGTTCTTCAAAAATATTTGAAAATGTAAGCTTATTTTTTATTAGGGATTCCGTGGTAAATTTATCTTCTTTTTGAGCTTCCATGAATGCTTGTGAAAATCTAAAAGCACGTAATGATAGATTACTGTGTGTGGAACGAGAAACATCTAAAAGATAAAAAGAAATTGTATATTAAAATTTTGATTAATAACAAAATATTACTAGGTGTTCGAATCTTACCATGCACAATTACAACACTTTTATTATTAAAAGTTTGTTGGTAATTATATTGGGTTTCAATCAATTTGTGGGTCACAAAAGAACCCAAGTATGTCGATTGATACCATCCAACTGTATTATTATCAACGTTTACTTCACGAAGACAACGCATCATGTCAACTTGATATCTAGCACCTAAACAATTTTTTTAATTAGGATCATTAAAGTTCTTTTTATTATTTGTGAATAGGCAATAAATACCATCTACAAGCTCATTTTCGTCTTCAGCCTTAGCTCCGGGAATCGGGAAACTATTTGTTACCTCCAAGACACCATTAACATCGAGGCCAAGAAGTTGTCCGGTTACTGGACTTGGAAAAAATTCGCGACAGTGTTTGATAATTTTAAGAACCACCTAAAATTATGAGAAACGAAAAAGGTTTATAATTTCCGATCTTGAACAATTTTTTTTGATCAATAATAAAATGGTAGCATACCAAACCGTCAATTTGAACGCTTTCTAATGGAAAATTGCCTTCAACATCTAATGCTGCAGTTACATTTACATTAGAAAGCGTTTCTTTAGGGGCTATGGGCGTTCCTGAAGTGCTCATTATTATCTATTAACTACGAAAAAAAAATTTAATTTTTTTTTTTTGAAATAAAATTTGTGATGTGTGATAATCGAATTTTATTGACGGGATCTACCAATTGTAGAACTTACACAATACCTTCTTTTTTTTTTTCATCTTTACTAAAGAAATTACTGTATACCCATTTTTACGATATTTTTATTTATTACCTTTATTTGATAAGAATAAAATGTTGCGACCCATTTTTACACGTCAGCTGCGTTCTAATTTAATTCGTTCCACCTCTGTATTGTCAGCTCGTTCTTTCGCGTCCGCTGTCAGTACAAGTGGACCGTGCTTCACTTTGACTGAAGAGCAACAAAATTTTCAAGAACTTGCTCGTAAATTCGCTCAGGAAGAAATTGTGCCAAAGGCGGTTTATCATGACCAAACTGGTGAATATCCAACGGACATTATTAAAAAAGCTTGGGAGCTTGGTTTAGTAAACACTCATATTCCTGCAGAATTTGGTGGACTTGGACTTGGTGTTTTCGAGTCTAGTTTAGTTACTGAAGAATTGGCTTGGGGTTGTACGGGTATTCAGACGGCCATTGAGGCGAATGGTCTCGCGGAAGCCCCATTAATTGTAGCGGGAAATAAGGAACAAAATCAAAAATACCTAGGTCGTATGACAGAAGAACCACTTATGGCTGCCTATTGTGTAACGGAACCTGGGGCAGGTTCGGACGTTGCGGGAATAGGAACAAAAGCGGAATTAAAAGGTGATAAATGGGTTATAAATGGACAAAAGATGTGGATAACTAATGGAGGTAAAGCCAATTGGTATTTCGTTTTGGCTCGAACTGATCCAAACGCAAAACCGGGCTCCGCATTTACGGGATTTATTGTTGACGCAAACACACCCGGTATTACACCTGGTAGAAAAGAAATCAATTTAGGTCAACGTGCGAGTGACACAAGAGGCATCACATTCGAAGAAGTTGTTGTACCAAAAGAGAATGTGTAAGGCATATTTGTATAGTTTGAGCGATTTATCTTTAAAATAACGTTAATTTTTTCGTTGAATAATTAGCCTTGGAACTCCTGGTAAAGGGTTCAAAATTGCTATGGCTGCTTTCGATATTACCCGTCCGTTAGTCGCAGCTGGCGCTGTTGGATTAGCTCGTCGTGCTATGGAAGAAGCCCTCAAATATTCTCTTGAAAGGAAAACCATGGGACAAAAAATGTGGGCTCATCATGCGATCTTTTCATCATCTCTCTCACTTATTCGTTTTAAGTAACTATATCGTTCACATTCATTTCGTTTTGGGTTTCCATTCATATAGATTCAACCACCAAAGTGTAGCGTTTATGCTTGCTGATGCTGCTATAGGAGTTGAGTCAGCGCGCAACATGGTTTGGAAGGTAAGGGTATTGTTACATGGATATTGAAAAGGCCTGTATATTTATATGATATCATACATTTAAAGGCTGGCTGGTTGCGTGATCAAAACCAAAGAAATACATTTTACGCGTCTATCGCAAAGGCGGTACGTTTGACTTTATATTTCTTAAATGATGATACGTAGAAAACATAATTTATAAAAGATGATCATTAATTCTGTAGTTGGCATCTGACGTCGCAGTAACTACGGCTAGTAATGCTGTTCAAATTTTTGGCGGAAACGGTTACAATACCGGTAATATATAGATGACTTTACGAACGTGATACGAATTGTATTATCGTGTCTAATTGAATACTTGTTTTTTCCCCCTGAACACAGAGTATCCTGTCGAAAAATTGTATCGTGACTCTAAAATTTTCCAAATTTATGAGGGAACTTCACAAATTCAACGATTAATCATTTCTCGATATTTGGCTGAAAACGTGGAAAATATGTAATACGTTTAGATTCGTGATAGATATTTATTAATATTATTAATATAATTTAAATTATTTATTTAGTTGACGCAATTTTAGTAGATTTACAAAATGACAAAAAAGGACTTGAAACTAATAATGATCGATTACATCCCGATTGGGATTTAATCACCTCTATTTAAAGACTGGTGTGGTGGGACAATAATAAATAACATTTTAATTGGGATCTTCTGATTTTAAAGCAAGTTGAGGATCATAAAAAAAATCAAAATTGGAACTTTTTGATGTACGTTTCAGATAATGCAGTAAACAAAGAATACGAACTTTTATAAATTCTTTCATTCAATGAAACTTGAAATATAAAAAAAAGGAAAAAAAAAAAGTTGGACATTTTCCAAATGAACAGACCGACAACACTTACTCTTACTGCCCTCCCGGACAAAAAACCTAGTAGATCGGGTCAATTTTTTATAATTAGAATTTTCATTACCAAAATCGGATAAAATTTCTTTAATTTTTTTTAATCGAACAAAGGATATTTTTGTTTATTGTACCAAAGAATTTCAAACCATACAATCCGTATAAACAAACAAGTCGGTTCATCGGCAAAAACTAAATGTAACTAAATCTTAAGTTTCGGAGTTTACGGGCAGTAAAATGCATATCCAGTTTTCTTTTTCGAAAAAAATAAAAGGCAAATATGGTTCAGAAAGTGTCTATCTAAAACTGTGTAAAACTAGCTCCTGCTTAATTACCTTAATTTATTTAATTAGGTACTAATAAATTTTCATGATGACCTGATAATTTATTTATTTAGGTATTAATAAATTTTCAGGATGGCCTGATCTCTTTTTTTTATATCGAATTTTTTCCATTCATATTTGTTTAAATTGTCGTTTATTCCCAATTATACTTTTTTATTCCAAAAATTCTACTTTCTTTCGTAATAAATCTCTCGGCTGGCCGGGTTACTCGCTGTCGAAAAAATTTTTTGTTTTTAAACTTGTGAATTTATCATTTTACTAGAAAATAACAAAAAATAATAATTATAATAATTCCAAGTGTGAATCAAAATAAAATAAAATGAGTAATTCTTCGAATCCTTCGCCTAGATATAATCAATATATCGACCAAAAAGAGTTTGATAATGTCAATAATGAAACTAATCGATATACAAATGAATATGAAGATATGAGTGATTATGTTTCTAGTTCGGGTTTTAGAGAAAGTTATTCCACTGGCGTTGGTACCCATGATAGCGTGGCGTTTCCTGATGATGCTGTCATTCAAAGGCATCCTTCCAAAAAAGTTTTAGCAGGTAATCCTGCTTTTAATAATATGACTAGTAATGATTCATCAAAAAGATTAGCCAGAGGTGATACCGTAAAGAAAACACCCCACCTAGATAAATTTGATCCTTCTACTGTAAACGGCCCTGTTGTAACTGTTAAAAAACCAATTACAAGAATTGAAAAACTTCAATCTTGGATGATTAATGAAGGTAAATTTTTTTAAAGAATAAAAAGAAGTGTATGTATATATATATAAAAAAAGAAGGAAATATTTGTTTTTCTAATTATTATTTCTTTTATCAATTTTAGGGAACCGTACTATATTTTTCGGTGTATGGGTAGCACTTCATATTTTAGTTTTTTCTATGGCTTTTCTCAATTTCTACTTTAGTGATAATTTGACTCAAGCCAGAGCTGTTTTCGGAATCACATATTCAATTGCAAGATCAGCTGCATTGGTTCTTCACGTTGATGCTGCCATGGTTTTATTCCCAGTTTGTAGAAATTTGATTTCTATTTTCCGTGCAACTCCCCTTAATAACATTATTCCTTTCGATGAAAGTATCGAAATTCACAAGGCAATTGGCTGGTCTATATTAAGTTTCACTTTAATTCATACTGGCGCTCATTGGATCAATTTTTTGATGGTTGCCAAGAATGATCCTTCACCATTTATACTATGGCTTAAGCTTAATTTTATAACGGGACCTGGTGCAACTGGTTATGTGATGCTTATATCCTTGTTAATTATGATTGCTACTGCGACTGAAAAAGCAAGACGAAGTCATTTTAATAGGTTTTGGTACCTTCATCATTTGTTTATTCCATTCTTTGGAGCTTGGGCCTTCCATGGGGCATTCTGTATGATCAAATTCGATAGAGAACCAAAGTGTGGTGAAAGCGCTGCTAGTTTCTGGAGATATTGGATAGCTTCAGGAGTGATTTACATTAGTGAACGTGTCCTTCGTGAATTTCGTGCAAGACAAACGTCTTATATTTCAAAAGTAGTCATGCATCCTTCACGTGTTGTCGAAATTCAAATCAAGAAACCTGCCATGACTACTAAAGCCGGGCAATATATCTTTTTATGCTGTCCCGAAGTATCGCTTTGGCAATGGCATCCTTTTACCTTAACATCCGCACCAGAGGAAGATTATGTATCTGTACATATACGCGTAGTCGGTGATTTTACAGAAACCCTATCCAAAAAATTAGGATGTAATTTCGACGAAGAATTAAAGATTCGTAAAGAAAACAGAGATCGTATAAAAAGTCAATATGATGGAATTGACATTTCATCAAATAATCCGGAACTTCAAAAAGTTTTACCTAGGATTATGATTGATGGTCCATTTGGAAGTGCTTCAGAGGATGTATTTAAATTTGAAGTTTCCGTGCTTGTTGGTGCTGGTATTGGTGTCACCCCATTTGCTAGTATTCTTAAAAGTATTTGGTATCGAGTTAATTACCCTACAAAATCGACTAAATTGTCCAAAGTATACTTTTTCTGGATTTGCCGTGATTATGATGTAAGATAAATTATTATTATTATTTTTTTTTTCCCGACTTTTCTCATCACTTTTTTTTTTTTTTATTTTCTTCAGTCATTCGAATGGTTTCAATCATTGCTGTTGGCTATTGAGGAGCAAGATATCGACCAATTCATTGAAACGCATATATACCTTACGGGTCGATTACGTCATTCCGAGGTTCGAAACATTCTCGTGAATGACGATGGTAACGTTAAAGACACGATCACGGGTCTTCGTGCGCCAACGCATTTTGGACGACCTAATTGGGATAAGATTTTCTCAAATATGAGAGATTTATATCAGGCAACGGATATTGGTGTTTTCTTTTGTGGACCAAAACCACTTGGTAAAATTTTACATACAAAATGTAATCTTTGGAGTCAAGGTTTTGAAGATGGAACAAGGTTCTTTTATGGAAAAGGTGAGAAAAAAATTAAATGGGTCAGTACGTACGAAAATCATGCTGCGGAACTATATAAATCATGTGATCAAAACCTGATTTTCGTATGTAACAAGCCAAATTATAATCTATAAATATTTCATGGTGACTAACTAAATCATTTATTTTTTATCAATATATAGAAAACTTTTAATAAATATACTATTAGCAATTCATCGATAGATATTATTTATAGAAAACTATTTTTTCAAAGTTCAAAATATTTCGTTTAAATTTTCGTAAAATATTTTATGTATTTTTAAACAAGTGCATTGTAATATAGTTATAATTTTTTTTTTTATTTTCAATATATAAGGATTGTGTGAAGGCAAAAGAAACCAAAATCAACCTGCTGAAACTAGAAATATTAAAAGGATCCTTTTGACTTTTTCATGGGTCTATTTCAGATTTAATTATTAATTTAATGGATCCAATGAATTGGAATAAATATTAAAAAAAAATAATATAATAATAATAATAATAAATAAATTATATCTATTAACAAACTAAATCGTGTGAATTTTTTTTTAAAAAATAAAATTTTCGAGATTGTGAATATGTTTTTAAATCTAAAACGGCCACGTGAGATGAGATTTCCAAATCAAAAAAAAATCATGCAAGGGAATGCTTGTGTACCATAGCATACATATGGTTCTTACTTGTAATTCCGTTTTGTGAAATTTGGAAAGACCGAACTATTCCAAAACCAAAACCATTTAGCAAAAAAGATGTACCGATCCAATCTTTTTTCCGTATTCAAAGACGGTGTAAAAAACAAAAATCCTTTTTCGTGATAAGCTATCCCCCCAAAAATTCACCCTTCATCAACCTTTGAACTTCATCAAATAGAAATCGATATTCTAAATACCCCATCCCATTAATTATCAGATTATTAGTCAAAAATTGAAAATCGATTTTTTATGACATTATTAAACAGTAAATCATTCTTGTTTTCGGAAAGCATTTTACATAAAATTAATTAAATTAATTAACAATTATTTACGTGTCGGATAGACTTTAAGTATTTCTAAGTAAATTTACTATTTACTGCATGAAAATGTCTTAATACAAGTCATGGCTTCTTCAAGCAAAGTCCAAAAGAATATGGGCTCCATTAACATTTCTTATACATCTTATATACACTACCCTGAAGAAAGTATCCGGGCATAAAAAAATTAATAAATTTAAGCTAGGACATCTTTGACTTTAGAACTTATAAATGCGTAAATAATTTAGAATCTGTAAAATTTGATACTTTTAGATGTTGAAAAATTATACTAGGTAGTGGGGACCGTTGCTAAGAAGTTTATTACGTTGCATTAGAGCCCACGGATTCGTGCGATGCAAAATTAAAAATTATGCATTTTAAAATTACTAATAATGCAAAATATGCAAAAAAAAATTTTTTAAATTTCAATAGAATTCTCTGAAAGTGATCTGCGCCTATCATTTTATAATTGGAAAAATTACGTTCAACATCAACTCCCGAAATAGGTAACCATATATAAATTTAACGCTACTTTTGATAAATTTGGAAGAATTCTTTGTTTTTCTTGCCAATATTGATTAAATCTAAATCACCATCCTCGAAAATTTTCATTCAGTTATAATAGAATTAGAAGGATTTTGAAATTCTGGAATTAAATTATAACTAACTAAAAATATTAAAAATATGTCTATTTTGAAATGATTGAATAAATTGAGGATTAAAACATTGAATAGCATTAAATAATGGTAATACAAAAAGAAAATTTACATTTTTTTCAAATTTTTTTAATGCTATTTTAAAAGCTTCAGAAAAAATTGGATATGAGATAATAATTGTATCATTTCTACACCAATGGTGGATTATTTGTTCCATTTTGTAAAAAGCTTTTGTTTGTGTAATTCTTGAAGCAACAAAAGGTGCAATAGCCAGATTTCTTATCAAGATTTAACATTATTTAATATTTACTTTTGTGCATTAAATGAAATAAATTTAATTAAAAATATCAATATAAAAAATTTGACTTTGATTCTGAAAAATATCTTTTAATTTTTTAATAGCATTAGAATTTTTTTTTGCAGATTCTTCAATAAAAAATGTAATAAAATGTTAATAATATTTCTCCATCCAAATTATAAATTTAAACCAAAAATTCCACCTAGTTTTAATAGGTAAAGAAGGTAAATTAGCAGATAAATCTTGTGTGTTTTTTCATTAAATAAAATGTCATTTGTATTTAAAAGAATAGATTTTGAAATTAAATGTTCTCTCCATCTTCTTTTTCTTGCTGTGAAGTATATAAATAAAGTTTTAATATGTTTTACTACAATATCTAATAATTTAAAATGTTCAAAATCCATCTAAGTTTTACCAACAAGATTATAAATATGAGCAAAACATGAATCGCAGGTGACTTATAACATAATTATGTTATGAGTCACCTGCGACTTAGATTAGGTTATGAAGGTAACTTCATAATATAATGGTAACTTCATAGTCTACCAGTAACTTTATAATATAATGGTGACTTCATTGTCTACTGGCAATTTCATAACATAGTGGTAACTTCATAGCCTATCAGTATCTTCATAATATAATAGTGATTTTCATAATCTAATTACATTATCTGATGGTAATTTCATAATCTAACATCATGATCTAATAGTGACTTTATAATCTATTTTTTGAGTAGCTTCTTTGCATTTGTAGTATTTAGGCTTCCTCAAAATCAAATTGAATCAAATATTTAAGCAATTTGAATTTGATTTGATTTTTTCAAATTGAATTGAATTGAATTGAATTGAACTC